AAAAATTTTTCCTAGGCCCTCCCCCCGCCTCAAAAATTTTTCCTAGGCCCTCCCCCAGGCGTGAATCATAGAGAGTGAAATTTCGTATGGGGAGGACGAGATTTTGATTGAAAATTTTCCCCGCATGAAGCGCCGAAGGCGCGAGCCATCGCGCCGCAGGCGCCACTAGAGCCCGAGTAGGCCCGGCTTTTGGGCGGGGGGGGGGGGGCATGTCCCCCCCAGAAAAAATTTTGAATTTCAACCCATGTTTTGCATGTTGAGGTGCAAAATTGGCAGCACAAATTTCGCTGGTACATCGAGCTACTCAAGTCAGTAACGTTACGGTCAGTCAGTTAAATCGAAATAAATCTAGCCTACCTTTCGTCCACGAACTTCTTCCGCGTCAATTTTATTACAAACAGGGAAACAATATTGCCAAGTTTACGTGTTGTTTTCAATTAACTTTGGAGGGACATAGATATAAATGTTAAAATAGTTCTTGGTTTTAAAAAAATACCAAATTAATCCGTCGACATCCGACATCCACGCCGAGAAGTTTGAGCGAGTTGCGAGGCGGGACCAGCGGGTCACCTTTGCCGACGCGCGCACACCACTGGGAAGTGTGCGTTGAACGGCGAAAATTAATTTTCAAAATCTTCCGACAAGCCTTCCCTACATTTTTGATCGGTATCGTTTCGATAGCCGCGATTGACACGACTTTAATCCATATAATTTGGCTGTGTAGTCCAGTTTCGCCGATCCTGGCGAAAATGCAAGATTTTGAAGAGGACTGTGGGAGATTTGGGCGAATACATTTATAATAATAGGGATGGATATTATTGGAACGTAAAATTCTGCCGATTCCAATGACCGGCAAATCGCTACGATATGTATGGGACAGACGTTAATAATGTTTTGGAAGTGTATAAAAACGTTGTAGAGTAAAAGGGATCTTGGAAAAAATTTTTACCTAGGCCCTCCCCCAAATTAGAATATTTTTTCCTAGGCCCTCCCCCCGGCTCAAAATTTTTTTCCTAGGCCCTCCCCCCTCAGACGACCGGCCCTCCCCCCCCGGTAACTATCGTACAGTCCCTAATCTAGCATTCTGTTGGAATTGCTTTTAGTATGATTGTAGAGTGCATACACTACCTCCCTGAAATGGGAGTCTTTTCCAAGGTCAACAATACTGGTCTATTTGAAGTAGGGCCTCAATAACTTGGTTCCTTGTTTCTTTACAATTTTAACCTTTGGCACACTGAAATAGCCAGTTCTCGACCAGTTCTCGATTTGTTACGGGGTTAAAAGATGGTTAGAGCAAAGATTTACCAGATTTACCAAGATAAAAACAGAGTATCGAGAGGAAAATTTAAGTCTGTCGATATTCACTCCCTGAAATGTGTGCAACACCCACATTGTTACCCTCATACTCTGTTTTCATGCCATTATGATCTTTCAGCTCTGAATCAGCATATCTTTTCTTGAACCCAAGAAACAACAAATTAGATTAGTGTGGCCTAACTGTAAGGTAGCTGTACAATTGAGTTCTATACCAGCACAAATTGCCAAAACAATCCTAACAGCATAAAGTCCAGGTCTGCAATAAGCAAAATGAAGTACTTCAATTTGCACGATTACCAACAATCTTACTGTGCACTTTTGGCGCACCAGTTTATTTTCACTTCAAGTACAGTCCTGGATTCCAGCCAGAGTGCCAAAAAGTTAACTGCAACAACGCTTTGTTCCATTACAGTAATGGAAAGGACTTGAAGTAAGTAGTGAGAGTTCAACTTTCATGAAGTACATGTACAAAACTTTATGGTTGTATTACTTACTGCAGCTGTTATGTGAGAAGTTATAGTAAGGGCTACAGGTTGCTCATGTACATGTAGTAGGTAAAAGTAAAGTGGCTGACCTCAGGATTAGGCAATGTGTGACTCTCTTTTGGCTTGATAAGTGAGTTGGGTTCTTTTATGTGTGGAGGTTTGACACTTGAGGCTATTGCTTGAAGCCCCTCTACATGCAGGCTTTACATCCCATCTGAAAGGACTATTGAAATCCATCACAACCTGCACAGGCAGGACTTTAACCTTCCCAGACTAGATACACTGATCTATATGGATCGCTTAACACTTGCACTACATAATACCAACTGACAGGGCCATAGATTATAGTGCATGTTAGCAGACAGAAAATTTGGTTCCAACAATTATGCAGCATAAAATTTGTTAGGGAACCCTTGCAGGGAGAATCCTGCAGATAGTACTGAGTTATGGCACGCTTTTAGACAATTTCCCTGCGGACAACTCGCAAAACTTTCATACATTCATAATCTTGTTATATGGCTTGTCTTTACACTAATGGATGACAGTTGTAATGTAGCAACAACGTCATCCATCTCCCTACCCACAACCCCTTCAACTTTTACACATTGCTCAGACTACTGCTAACAGATCTAGATAGTTTGTTTGAGTGTAACTTTGAGTTGGTATTACGTAATGCCAGTGTTCTAGCCAGCCTGAATTTTTTTGTCATCTCAATTTTGTTTGATGAAACAAATCGAGTGGTGAAGGCAAGATAATCCTATGGTGGTCTGGGGGCATGGTCAAGGGAGCTCCCCCAGGGAAAATTTGAAATCTTGACTCTCTGAAATTTCCTGCATATTGAGGGGCAAATCTTGCTGGTAGACTAAGAATAGGTTGATGTCGTCTCATTCCACATTTACATACCAATTTTTACCTCCATGAAAAATGGAGGTATTGTTTTTGGTGTGTCTGTGTGTGTGTGTGTCTGTGTGTGTGTCTGTGTGTGTGTCTGTGTGTCTGTGTGTGTTTCCGCAACTTTGTAGTCAGCATAACTTCATAACGCCTTTATGGATTGTGATGATATTTGGTATGCTGATAAGTCTTAGGAAGACAAAGGTCAAGGTCAAACAAATATGGGCCTCCTGGTGGATGACCTTGGTATTGCAGCAGAACTTCCGGTTTTTGTATCTTTGGTCCTGAACATGCTGTGGTCTTGAATTTTTGGTGACAGATGGCTTTTCCTGTCAGGAATAAGTGGTGTGGGTTTGGTCCCCCTAGCAGCTTGTTCAGGAACTGCAGGGGTCTTTCGGGCGAAATCTTTGAAAGCCAATAAGTCCAGATAGGAACAGCGTATTTTCATCATTTTTGGTGTGTAGGTATCTGACAGAGAGATGTACATAATTAACTGCAAATTATGCAAATGAGGATTTTATTTGCATAATTAATGAGGAAATTCTATAATTAAAGTGTTTTACATTATAGAACTTTCATACATGTAATGTATGTAACCTATGGCAGATGGAACATCAACAGATACTAATTATGCAAATGATGACCTAATTTGCATAATTAATGCAAAAAATCTATGATTTCTCAATGGTGAATGATGGGAATGTCATACTTGGGACATCTTTAAGTTAATCAAAAGTTAACATCACGATGCATATATTATGTTAATGCAGAGGTCATTTGCGTAATTAAAGAAGAAATTTACATTTACATTCAAGCCCATATTTCATGGAGGTATGAGATCTTGGAACTCTTGTTGTCCATTAAATACGACGGATTGGGCAAAATTCACAAGCAGAAAAATTTCATCAAATGACAAAAAGACAGACGCTGGCTAGAACACTTGGTCATGCCAAGTTATAATTTATTGTTGGCTCTTGCTGGATATACAATGTAGAAAGTCAATGCCAAAACAGAAAATATACAAGAAAATGCAAAATACTCTACACAGTTTCAGAATGTACATTGTCCTCTCCTGAACTGAGGAGGGGAGGTTGTACTTACCTGCAAGATGAGCAAGATCACAAAGTAAGCGTTCGCCACCCTTTGCAGCTGCTCAAACAGGTTGATAGGCAGGAAGGTGAAAACATTGTACTTTGATGTGCTGATGTAATTACTCTGGAATAAGAAACACAAAATATTGTAATGTATATCTATGTCTTACTATCACGACAAGCCAATGGGCTAATGGTGTTCTGAAC